CATGGTGCCCAGACCTGATGTGTTAAAAGGCAGTATAATTGAGTCTGACTTGTTTCTGGAACACTGGTAGGTTATTCTGTTGTTTTCAGATATTTAAAAACTTACCCTTTAACAGCCTCACGTTGATGTGATTTTTGAGTCAAGTAGTTTCTTCTTCCTTAAGAGTGAAAGGAAGTCTCTGTGATTAACAGCATTTGGCTTACAGACCGTGAGGTCTCTAGAAACTTGAACTTCAGTCATTCACCGCGCGGCTGAGTGGCAGGGCGGGCAAAGTAGAGGCTCGAGTTCCCAGCATTTCGCTTGAGTTAACACAGTGCAGCCTTTGGCAACCTGCCACTCTCTCTGCTTGTAGACAGGTTTGTGAAATTTGACACCCTCCTGTCTTCCCTTAAAAATCTTGCAAGGTTCAGCAGTCTTCAGTGGCTGGCCCATTTCTGCTAAACTCCCGTTGTCGAACGCAAGTGTGAGGCTCTCCTGGTCCTGTCCTTGAAGAACAGTTTATGCTTTGGATGCAGAAGTGGAACCCTGCCTTTTGTGTCTGTTAGGCTGCCACCGACTCCCCTTAAAATATGAACATTTTATATACAAGCATATATGGTATCAACAGAGCATAGTGAAGTAGGATTTGGACAGTTATTCCTTTAGTTGATACAAGTCAAGCAGAGCCTAGAGAGTTGTCTATGAAAAACTAGAGTACTTCTTAGGTGGAAATAGGGTGGTTTGTAAGAATAATAGGGCTCTTACCATATTTTGCTTTTAGCACATCTCCTTTGGTTTCATTTCCAAGCCCTTGGGGGCCCTTCCTTGCCCTCACCCTTGATGAGTAAGTATGATGGTCGAAAAGCACCATGTTGCAAGAATCTAGCATTTACTAATTGTGTGATTTAGCTTAAGTGGTTCAAATTCCTAGTCTGTAAAGTAGGAATAATAAATGACACCTGCCCCGCACCCCCACTCCAACTGCCTTCGACTCATTGTGTGGGTCACAATAGAAAAATAAGTTGTCAAGTGTCATTTAACTTCTCCAGTCCTGTGCCATGGGGACTCCTGTTCTCTCCGAGGATGGGTGTAGTGAACTATCTCGGGGTTCATGGAATGATTCTTTCTATTACAGGACATGCCTCAAGACTTTCCCCTTCGCTGGCTTCTGTGATCATGAGCCGCTGCCTCTTAACCCACCACACAGGCAACCTGGCCCTCTGCATGGCAACTCTTGTTGATTATGACGTTAATTTATCTTTATAACTTCCAAAATAAGTTACACTTGCTGGTTCAGGTTTTACAGAGTTACATGAAACAATTCAAATCAGCACATTTCAAGTCACAGAAAGTTATAACTGAGAAAGGGGTCTTACAACTCCGCTTCCTGTTTTTGGCAGTTCAATTCATTTCAGTAAATAAGAGCTGGTGCCTATCACGTGGGTGCTATGCTCAGGCACTAAAGGCAGCTATTGTTTCTCCCCGATCTCCGGAAGTGGAACAGAAGGGCACGCAACCCAAATGGAGATGAATGGGAAGTAAAAACTTTTTAACTCCTTAATGTGCAAGAAGAACGATGGTTTTAATTTCACTTAGGATCCTTGCTAAGTAAATAATGCCTGCCTTTCTTGGGTTATAAATAATTTCAATGGTCAAGGAGACTACTGATCTATAAAAGTGAAGATGAAAGAATGATAATAATAAAGACTTATATTTCTGCTTTTTATAAGCTCCTCTGTGTTTATTAACCAGTAAGCGAAAACATAATTGCACAAAGAGAAATGGAAAGCGGCGAAATGGCAGCATGGTAACACCTCCCTGTGTGCTACACTAGATGTTTTATAGTGGCCACAGCCCTTGAGAGGACCTTGAAGTGTCTTCTCAGAGATTAAAGGCAGTGTCTTCATTGAGTTACATGTTGTTGTTATTGTTGTTATTTTAATGTTTATTTATTTTTGAGAGAGAGAGAGAAAGACAGAGTGCTAGGAGGGGAGAGGCAGAGAGAGAGGGAGACACAGAATCTGAACCAGGCTCCAGGCTCTGAGCTGTCAGTACAGAGCCCGATGCTGGGTTAGAACTTAGGAGATCATGATCTGAGCACAAGTCAGACCCTTAACCAACTGAGTGAGCCACCCAAGTGCCCCAAATTAAAACAAAAACAAGCAAATAATAAAAATAACACCCATGCTGAAGTTAGATGCCCTGGGTCCTCTTCTTGACCCTGTTTCTGACTGGCAGTGTGATTTGGGGGGTGGGTGGGAAGTCCGTCTTTGTTCCTCAGAATTTCATTTCCCTCAAATTTAAAACGGGGCTAACGTTTTTTGCCCTGCCTGTATAATAGAGCTGTTAGGGTGAGTGTTTGTTTCCCTGTGCATAGACTTGAATCTTCACTTCTTACAATCATGTAACTTTCAGAGAGTTCTTTAAACTTCTCTGTGCCTGCTTCTTCATCTTTAAAGTGGAATAATATTAGTACCTACTTCAGGGTTCTTGTGAGACGTGAGCTAATTCCCACCAAAGACATAGAACAGTGCCTGACAGTTCATGACAGTAATTATTTTTTGGTGAACTTTTGGGGGCTCTCTGACTTAGTATATTTTTAGCCTACTGAATTTTTAAAATAATATTTTTTAAAAATAAAAATCACATAATGCCCTGTTGTCACATTTTATCTTTCTGGTCATTTTGGTAATTTCACAAGATAGGACTTTGTTGTCAGAAACGGTTAATCATGATACTGAAAACTTATTCCCAAATGCGCTTTTTCTTCAGCACTTCGGACGAAATTTATTTATTCTAGGAAGTGTGTTTTACTGGCAGTGTGAGTTTGGAAAGCTTTAAGTGGGAATCAGGATATGACCCTGCCTTCTCTATTACTGTTAGAGGCTGGAGATCTGTCCTAACTGTCTAGAGCTTTGCTTGTGTCGTATCGAACAAAAGATTTTTTAAATGTTATCTTTGATTTTGAACTGTGCCAATTCAACTTTGAGAAGTACTGAAATGTTGATCAAGAGCTCCATCACAACAGACCCATTTATAATAATCCTAGTGGCTTATTTCACAGAAGCAGTTTTCAGATACAAATACTGATCATGACTTCCTGTGATTTTCCCTGAAGGGGTAAAATTAATTTGTGGGAAATGCTTGGAATTTAACTAGTAATTAACTTATAAAGAACCATTAAAAAAAATCCCAACTCCCCCAAGCTATTATGACAAAGGATCTTATGAGTTCAGAATTCTTCTATGTAATTTATGTTTTATAAAGTGAAACCTAGAGACTGTTGTTCACTATCTTCAAATTTGTTATTGAACTAAAATGATGGCGTTAGATGGAGGAACCTTTGAGCCCCACACTGGCTTTTCCACCTCAATTCCAGTTTAGGTTAATACTGAGGCTGCTACTATTAAACTACTTATCTGAATATAAATGTGGTTATTTGTGGCCTGATATGACACACTCCATTATCAAAATTTGATAATGGGATATTTGAAAGTTTGATTATAGAAAACGGACACGGAGATTTTTCCTATTTTTTTTTTGTTTATCAATAGAATTGAGGCTGTTGAATATTTTGTTTCATCTGCCTTTTCCTGTTTGTGTAGTTACTATTTCGTAAACTCTAAACCCTTTATTTCTAAATTTTTACTCCTATACAGTGTTACATTACAGTTCCTAAATAGCATGATTAGGCTAATCATTTTGAAGTGAAGAACTTACTTTTAAACATACAAAAAGCACAAGTTAATTTTATCTGCTAGCTGATTTCTTTTCCAGAGTTTTTTATGTTAAGGAATGTCAGGTTTCTGTCTGGGGAGGTAGTGAGTAGATTAGCAGGTGTTAGGGTCGAAGGTGCTTTCAAGGGGCTGCATGGTAGGATGAAAAGATGTGATCTGGAAACCCTGGCTGTATGTGATGCTGGGGAAATTTCTTTGCGTCTTTCAACACTAGTTTTTTCATCTGTCAATGGAAATACTGCCTGTCTGGAGAGGTTATAATCTGATATCACATTATACTGATTATATGTATCATATGCTGATGTATAAGATCAGCATAATGTAACTGATAATGTAAAATAACCAAATGATAACTGTGATATTTTTACATTAGAAATTTGTTTCATTTATGTTTAATATTTCAAAGCATTGCTGAATAGATATTTTCAGATTCTTTGTTTTGTGAAGATATTAATAGGCTTATAATTTTCTAAGGTTACCACAAGACTTTGAGAGGACCAAAAGGAATACTTGATTTCTGAATAAACTAATCATTATATAAATTCTTATTTCTTTTTTTTTCAATGTTTATTTTTGAGAGACAGAGACAAAGCATGAACAGGGGAGGGACAGAGAGAGCAGGAGACCCAGAATCTGAACCAGGCTCCAGGCTCTGAGCTGTCAGCACAGATCCTTATGTGGGGTTCAAACTCATGAATGGTGAGATCATGACCTGAGCCAAAGTTGGACACTTAACCAACTGAGCCACTCAGGTGCCCCTGTAAATTCTTATTTCTTGAGTCCTTTGTTTACTGCGTTAGTGTTGTAATGACCATTTTTCCCTTTCTCCAGTCTTGGACATCCTTGTGAGTTTACCTTTTAAAAAAAGTTAACAGAGTAACCGAAAAGGATATAGAATACTGCCAAGGTAGTTTCCTCGTTCGCAGTTTTAGATTTCATTCCTTGTTTCAGAATTATTTGAACCTTTCATGGCTGTTCATAAAGTGCCCTCAAGAACCAAGTACTCTCAAATTGAGCCCTTTGTGAAGGGTAAGGAAAGGATGCAATAATGTCCATATTTATGGGCTGTACCTTCCCCACTGCTTTCTTTTTTTCTGGTTTGGACCTTGTGTTAATACATCAGTGTTTCAAAGAATGGGTGACTGTATTCTAATGCAAGTTGAACTATCTGCTGCCTGAGGGCTAATATTTAAAACATCACATATTTTAATGAGACTTAAATTGTATGCTAAGTCTTCTTCATGTTGAAAAAAAATCTAAGTTTTTTTCACTTTGTTTTTCCAGGTGGCATTTTTCTGAAGTTGTTCATTGAGACTTACCAGCATTCCTACAGATAGAATAGGTAAGTGGTTGAAATCAGATACCCTTATTATAATGATTCTTGGGATACTTTTCCAGCTGGGTAGCAAATTACTTCTTGAAAGAGTTTCAGTGTGTCAAACTTGTGGACCTTGAATATTAAACACTAGTGTTTTGTGTTTATTTATTTATTTAGTTAGTTAGTTAGTTATTGGTTAGAAATATCTCTTGGATGAATATACACAAATGTTATAAAAGGCCCTGTGAAGTTTCAAGATGGTATTAAATTTAATGCTGTAATTTCCATGTTTCCATTCTGACATGCTTTGTTCTTGTTGCCATTCATCAACAAATTTCAGAATTCTTTATGGTGGGGCAGAACCGACTTTAAGTTTTCTTTCCTTTTGAGTTTCCTGTAGGCTACTTTACCAGTTGTTACCATTTCTCTGTAAAAGGGGAAGTAGAGATGACTAATTCAGATTACCCAATTTTATTACTTGGTGACAGCTCTGGTAGGGGAACTGCCCAAATAAGAGTTGAAAACAGTTGACTAATAGGTTATTTATGTGTAAGTCTTTAGATTCTTGTTTATAAAACTTACTTTGAGGAAGTACTAGTAATAATAACAGAGGTTAAGTAATCTCCTACAGTATGCATTCAGGAAAATGAATTAATAAATTATCTTAAAAGACGTTGATCTATCCCTGCTTCTTAAAGGGAGACAATATTCAACCTGGTCCTCTAAGGGCCTTGTTATGAACTTGAGGATGCGGCTGCCAAGGGAGCCAGGATGTGGTTTGGATTTGGGACCCATTGAGACCCCATCTGGGAGGGTCTGCCACATGCAGGGAATTCCTAGAATATGTTCACAGACACCAACTCATTTGTGAAGAGGTGATTTTTTTTAGCTTACAGATTCTGGGGAAGGAAAAATTGCTCTTATATCATGAATTGAACTCTTGATTTCTCAAATGATATTAAATTGTTCTAACAGCAACTACTGCTTGGGGTTAGATTAGGAAGCTTCGACTTTTTTTTTTTTTTTTTTTTTAATGGGAACTGTAAACACTTGTGAATTGTGAAATTATTTGAGCAAAGTTCTCATGGAAAGGCTATGATTGACCCAAGGTGGATGGGTGTCCTGTGAAGGTTAGTCATTAGCACCTTATCAAACTGATAATCTTTAAATATCTGTCCCATATTTATTTACTGGGAGTAGGTGAGACTAATTTTCTATTGATAAAGACTTTCAATAAAAATATATATCTTTTCCTCTATGTTGAAAATAAGGGACTTATTACATGGGATTTTCTGAACCAGGTGTTCATAAGCCTATTTAAAATTTGGTTAGTAACACTCTACCTTGTATTGTTCAGGTCCAGACTTTCAGATGCCTGTCAGCCAGGTGACGTTGGTATTGGTAGTGAGGGCTGTTTTCACTCATACAGTTTTGCGAGGGGAAATGTTCTCAACAGACACAGGTCTGTGCCCGTGAGGAGTGTGTTTATTTCACCTCCTGGGACTGTCAGTTTGAGTGGAAACGGGTCCAATTGCCATTTTGTCCATTATGTGAGGAATCACATGTGAACCCCGGAGTTAAGTGGCTCCGTATTTCCCATGTATTCCAGTGATGATTTAGTCCCCCATTGTGGCTTGTCACCCTGGATCACTGCCAGGCCGGCCTGCTGAATCCATCTCTGGGGAAAAGCCAATTTCATTGTGCCAGTGCCTTCAGAGTCATGTTCTCCCTTGAAATCCCCATTTTAGAAGATGTAGCCAGGCCATGTGTAGCAACATGGATGGACCTTGAGGGTGTTATGCTGAGCGAAATAAGTCAGGCAGAGAAGGACAAATACCATATGTTTGCACGTATAGGAGGATTAGGAGGAACTTGACGGAGGAACAAGGGGGAGAAGAAGGGCGGAAATGGTGGGGGAAAGGGAGAGAGGCAAACCATGAGAGACTCTTGAATGCTGACAAAAACTGAGGACTGATGGATGTGGGGGGGAGGGGGGGATGGGCATGAAGGAGGGCACTTTGGGGATGAGCACTGAGTGTTATGTAGAAACTAATTTGACAATAAACTATTTGTAAAATAAAAAAAAATAAAAAAAAAAAAAAAAAGAAGATGTAGCCAGATAAAACTCACCTTTTGTATGTCTTTTTTTTTTTTAATTGTGAATTAAATTCATGTCATACAAACACAATAAAACTTAACCAAGTCAGACCTAACAGTGGCCTTTCTGAAGTAACAACAGCATGTGAATTACAGAGAAATCTGACTACTCACATTGTATCCACTTGGTGAAAGGGTTCTCTTGAACAAAGAGTCATTGCAGCCTGGGGAGAGCCTCGTCATCAGGTGGTCCTAGGCTGAGGCTCCGTCTCTGCTGGACACAGACCAAGGTTGGGATCCCAAATGTGGTGCCAGTGGCTGTGTGACCTAAGACTTGTTCCTTTACCCGATGGATCTCCCATCTTGTTATGTGTGGATACCCCTTCCCCCCAGAGCGGTTTGGAAGATTCAGAGAGGCAAAGATAGCATGTGTGTGACAGAAGAGCAGGCACCAACTACTCTTGCCTGGGCCCGACATCAGGAACCTTGAAAGGAATGCTGGACATGGGAGGGCGGACCTGCTTTGCCAGGTCCCTCCTTGCCTCGCTGGTAGAGTGACAAGTTATAGCTCCTCTGTTCTGCCCTGCCTCCTCTGTGAGAATTGTGAAAAATGTTTGAAAAGTGTCAGTTTAGGGTGTTGGTTGGTATTAGAAGGCTTCTAGTGGGTAGGCTTAAAAAAAAATCTAGTCAGACTTTCTGGGCTTGAGTCCCAGCTCTACACCTTATAATTAGGTGTATGACCTTGAACAAGTCATTAACACCCTCTCTGGCTCTCACCTGTCTCACAGGATTGCTGCAAGGTTAAATGATGTATTGTGTGTGGAGTGAGGCATATGGAACTAACACCTAGTGAATCTCAATAAATATGCTCATAAATTCACCAGGACACAAGAAGGGGGAGGCAGAATCTGACTGAAAAACATTTGCATGGTTTTAAAATCTCTTGAGTTTGAACTGTGATGTAAAGAGTTGCCTTTTATATCATGTTATGTTATTTAGAACAGGAAGGATCATCTTTTTCCTGAATAAACTGAGAGTGGCCTTCTCCTATAGTGCGGGGCTCTCTCATTAGATGCGCGCTAGTATTCTTTGGTTTTCTTTTCATGAGTGAACGAATCTTTTCACATCTGGGGGAATTCTTGATGGAACTGACCGAAGAGCGAAGTAAAAGCTCTAGCTTTGCACTGTCCATTATGGCAGCCATTGTCTTGAGCATTTGATTATGGCAAATGCGACTGAGGCATAGAATTTTTAATTTTATTTCATCTTAGTTCATTGGAAATTTAGAATGGTTGGTTGATTCAGCTATTGGAAAACTTTTAAGTACGTTTGGAACAATTCGGGCATGCAGATCTATTTTTTCAACTGTACGTTTTACATAGCTTAATCAGATCAAGTACTTCTGATGAAAACTTAGCGCCTGAATTGAGGTGTGTCGTAAGTACAAAATACACAGCAGATTTTGAAGTGTTAATGTTGGGAAAAAAGGATGTAAAAATATTTTTAATACTTTTTACATAGATTATATATTGAAATGATAATATTTTGGATATGTAGAATTAAATATATTATTAAAATCAATTTCTTCTTGCTTTTTAAATGTTTCTACTAAAATTTTAAAAATTTTGTTTAATGTTTATTTTTGAGAGTGCGTGAGTCAGGGAGGGGCAGAGAAAGAGGGAGACAGAGAGTGCAAAGCCCAGCATGGGGCTTGAACTCATGAACCCTGAGATTATAACCTGAGCTGAAGTCAGATGCTCAACCAACTGAGCCACCCAGGCGCTCCTTTACTAAAAAGTTTAAATGTTGTACATGGCTCACATAATACTACCATTGGACAATGATACTCTAGAAGATCCTTGAAAGAACAGGGTAATTTCATTTTTTAATGTTTATTTATTTTTTTTATGTGAGAGAGAAGGGTGGGGTAGGGACAGAGAGAGAGAGAAAGAGAATCCCATACAGGCTCTGCACTATCAACCCAGAACCCTATGCCGTGCGAGACCATGACTTGAGCCAAAGTCAAGAGTCAGACACTTAACTGACTGAGGAACCCAGGTGCTCCAAGAATAGGGTAATTTCTAATTTATTGGGTAAAATATAGTTTTTTCCAATAGGTTGTGACAAGTGTGTTTTTTTTTTTTTTTTAAAGCTCCCCCCCCCCCCAAGACTGCAGGACAGGGATATTTTTAAATATTCAGAGTTGGGGAAAAAAAAAAAAAGAAAAGGCACATTGCTGATGTGTTACCTGAACCTTATGTAATACAGCCCAACACTCAATTCTTCTGTCTTCACCATAGACCTTTCCCCGCTGCTTTCTCATGAAATGTGCCAAGGGAGATACTCCCCACTGTCCACCAGGATAGGAACCCAAACACTACTTCTCAGCCAAATGTTCTGCTTCTTTAATGGTTGTTAACTTTGACATTCGATGTAGGTACCATGTTCCCAGGTCACATTTTGACATGCCCCAGTTGAGATCAGTTTAGGAACTGTCATCCACGAGAAAATGACTTTTACCCACGTGCATGAATTAGCACTCTCTTCTTACTGTGGTACCAGAAATACAGAGATAAATTTTCAAGGGAATGATGGCTGGCTCCATGGTTAGTTGTCACCAGTGTATGTATGAAACATGAGAAGATAATACAATTGGGGTTATCAGTGTGTTTGTTTCTCATTCATGCCCTGGTTGGCACTTTAGTGTCTTCTAAGAGGTGAGGGAAAAGTGTTTGACTCCAAATCATGACGGCTGGCTCACAAGGTGATGGCAGTGAGGTTTCCAACCTCTGATTGTGCTCCTCTGTAGTTGGGGTCAACAAACACCAGCCACTTTCCATGTCAGAATCTTCCATTGTGTCTGCTTGGTCTGTGACAGTACATTCCTTTCTACGATAAACATGGCAGATATATTGCCATCCTCATAC